AATATTTAGCTCAAAGAGAAAAAAGAGAACTCTTCTTTGGCTTTGGGTAGGATGGAGCTGTTTAACTGAATAATTTTTGAGTTAAAAGCTGTAATAAAAGAGAAGGTAAAAGCAAAATTGACTTAAATAAAGTGTTATGTTGGTCCAAATCCACTATCATATGGCTTTTCAATTGCCATAACTAACTAAGATTAAAAAGAGCTAACTTATGGGTAATTAACTAGGTTAAGGTATATCTTTTAATATGACCAATTGCCTCATTGCCAAACCTAACTTTTTAAAATGGCTAGGTCTATAGAGTACACCTAAATGCCCTTTAGAGAAGAGTAGTCAATCGATGACATAGTAATATACTAGCAATAATCTTGTATATGGAGATATTATATAATACTCGAAATCAAACATTAATTTTATAATATTTATATTTTAAATAGTAACTTAGTTTTTTTTTAATTACACCATTTAAAATTGAAATGAAGAGAGAAAAAAGAGGTATCCGTGTAGATTGATGAAATTATTTAGTACTGAAAAACTTGTTAATATGTTAATTGAGTTGTCTGACATTAGGAACTGTACACAGAATATAATATTTTTGAGTGAAATTTTTTTTTTTCAAAGGAATTTTGTACCATTAGATTAAAATAAATAAAAATTAAATTAATATTGACCGTTATTGTACTTTTAGAAGTTAATATTATATATATTTTGTTCACAAAAGCATAAAGTTGTTTAACTATGCACGCTGCACAAAAGATAAAATTCAGCGTGAATAACACATGCAAACTTAAATTTTTATCCTCTACATATTTTTTTTCTTAAAAATATCACATCAATCATTTCTATCACATGTTCAATTATTTAATATTTGATTAATTTATAATTTAACATAATTTTTATTTTAAACATTATCTATATACGATAGTATATATATGTTGAACAATTTTAATATAGTGAAATTAATTTTTTGGGCGCTCGAATTTTATATTTCATCGTGCCTTCAGACACGAGTTATGACTAGTTAACATATATAGGTTTTTTTTCAACAACTTTAATTTTATTGCAAAATAATGCTTATGTGAAAAATTTTATTTTTTGGGGTTTAATTTATGGTTAATTATAGATTTTGGGTATTTTTGTTTAATTATTTTAATATTAATTATTAAATTTTAAGCAATTCGTTATTGAACTTTTTTTCTTGAAAAAATTAAGATGGATTTTGGCATATTACCCACAAAAGCTAGTGTCAAATAGATCTTTTTGTATGAATCTAAACTCGACAAATTGCGCACATTGATAGAATTGAACAATATTCTTTAGACCTAATTTATTAATTTAATCTCTCACAACTATTGGATTATTGATTTGAGTTTGACAAGCTGGAGGCTGGACTAATTCCAATAACATTGATACAAAACACAAAGCAATAGAACGTGAGATATGGCTGCTAAAAATTATTGAGATCTCATCATCTCCGCTGAGAGCGGAGGCATGTTTACAGTCAACACGATGACCAACAAAGAGGGAATCCATGCGAAGAAAATGAAAGATCAAAAGACCAGAACTCGGGATTACGCCACCTTCCCCGGAAGACGAATAAGCAGCCATATGTAATGATGCTTCATCTTCTTCTTCACACTAGAGGAGCACTACCAACTAAAATATCACGTGTTATAAATTCAAATGAGACCTGAATTTTTCTTTAGTTAATCATGGATGACTAGCCATGAAAAAAAAAAATGATGAAGAAAGTACAAGATGATAGTCCCTAATGAGTGGAACAATATTGACAATGATTTGTCGTCAAACTAAGAATTATATGCAATCCTTGGAGAGAAATCTAAGTGATGCAATTACGCAGCGAAATCAACAGAATGTAGTTAAGGTAAGAATTTGATAATCATGCAAAGCACCCATTCAAGGGAATGGACACAACCTTTAGGTGAGGTTGTGACCATTAATACAAAATCACAACTCTCCAAGAGTTGTATTGGTTTAAATTTAAACCATCATTCTTTCTCTCTTCATTCATGGGAAAATAAGCGCCAATCATTGCATCCATTCATGACTTATATGTACAAGTGTGATCATTCAGTCCATGGGTCAACACTGGTAGGATCTAAATCCCGAGGAGTCGAGAACTTTTTTTCTGTTTCATCAAAACTGCATCAAAAAAAACTACTTGGAGGCTAAAAGGGGGGAAGGATACTAGATCATATGAAGTGTGGACAATGTGGATACATGAATCGTTTGACAAAAATTAGATCAGTAAATTAACACTCACTTCCTCTCCCTCCCCTGCAAAGAAAACCTCTGTTGTGTCTCCATGCCTTTTGGAGCGTGATCTAATTTAGACATCCCCGAGCAATGAAAAGAGAGTTGGTTTGGAGGTATATGTGTAGGCCTGCATGAAAGCACAACCTACACCCAACTCAAACCTTGTTATGATGTAGGGTGATTTGGCTCCACAACACCAGTGGGTAGAGAACAACGTTCAATCAAACTGTTCATTCAGATAACTTGGCCAAATTCCGCAAAATTAAAGACGAATAACATTTTCCCTTTGCACCATGAAACCATCTGGGTTGGCTCCTCTGCTGTTGGTGATCTAACGGCACAGTTTGCTGTTAAGAGCAACAGTACCGTTTTGACCAAAATACACTGTCCAGCAAACAAACTCGCAACGACGTCGTCCAACTCGAAAACTTTTGAACATACAATGACATCGTTGCCCACCCTGTAACCGTTAAAACTCAAGATTTTGCCAAACCACAATCGTCTCCTTCTCCGGCCCGGCTAAACAACAACTCTTCACTAATTTGTCTCCCTCACTGCATCGAAAGTCACTGGTTGTCGTCTTCCTCGTCAAACCTGATGATTATTCAACCACGGTGCTGCGATCGGTATGAAAGTTTTTCTCCAAATCAGCCGAAATCACAAAAGCCCTAACATCAAGAATCGGCTGCAAGTTCTTATCAAAATTGTACCAATGATAATCACAAAATTATATCAAGATTCTAATAGGCAATTAAGAAAGAATCAGAACTTTGTGAACCAAGAAATCTGAAATTTTAAAAAAAATCTGAAACAACATCAAGATTATCTGAGATTGTGAATTCACAGTACAGAGAGATAGAGAGGGAGCAATTGGAACTTGGTATTTCAGTTAGTAATTACAAACTTTGTGCAGTTGAGTTCATTGTGGTTTGGGCGGGAGTTATTTACGCTGATGGAGGGACTGTTCATGTTGCTTAGGGAAGACATGGTGAGCAATGTTGATGGAGGGACTGTGCATGTCGCTTAAGGAAGACATGGTGGGCAACCGACGTCGTTGTGGGTTCAAAGGTTTCAAGTTGACTGAAGCCATTGCAGGTTTGTTTGTTGGACAGTGTATTATGGCCAAAACAGAACCATTGCTCTCAACAGCAAACTTTGTTGTTAGACTGCCAACAGCAGAGGAACCTTCTTTGGAACGTTCTTATGCCTTACATTGGTAAATCAGTCGGATATATAATAATTTGACCAATAAAGAACAAAAGAAGATAGAAGTTTGATAGAGTACTGAAAGGCTTTCAATGATGGCAATTATAGTCAGAAGTTCAGACTCAAAACTTGCTCGACAAGATAGTATCAGTTCGATATTGCAAGCATAAGGTGCTGAAAGTTTGAGCTTGACTCCAGAGCAATGAAAACATGGCATTGGCAAAATTACCTGCGGTCGCTATTGGCTACACTATTACAAGACGACATCTGAATGTAAGCTACTATCGTAGTGTATAAATGTCCCTTGTCTTACGCATCAGTTGATAATTGTACAAGTTGTTTTAGAAGCACAAACAATTCTAAAAAGACCACATATTCTGTAAGACATTGAAGAGGAGACATGGAAGTATGACAAGAATCATCTCGGAAGGTAATGACAGGAATAATCATTACTATAATATTTTTGGTATATTAAAATGCCTATACAACATAGGTGATTGTCGACTATTAGGATTTATATGCTAAAAATTTTGTCACATATCCATTTCATGTACTATACATCTTTAGAAATTTTAACATAGATTTTCTCACCGTTTCTGCATCCTAATATTTTAAGAATTTTTCACGTCAGCATATCCTTGTCTGTCCTTATTAGATGTGCACCTTTAGCATGTCTCGTCCAAGCACAGTCACACTAATTAGAATATGGCCATTACAATTATTTAGATCCACTACCACCTTTATTGAAAGGTTTGCGAGAAACAATTTAGGATTTTTGAAATGCAGGAATTTTGCGTTTAGACTCTCACTAATAGTTCTTGTTGCCACTCACCCACAAACCTTTTTCGAATTCTAGCTATTAAGATTTCACTTTTATAATTACTTATTCGTTGACAAAATAACCCACGGGAAGGACTGATTTGCGGATGAGGAATTAACATACCAACTTGCTTTCATCCTTTCCATTCGTATTGTAGTCCAAGGGCAACCCCTTTTTTAAGAAAGTGTTGCAATAGATGACAATTTCGAAATTAGTTCACTTACTTAAAATTTAATAGTATGAAAATATATTCATTTCTTTTGCATTGACACAATCTATGATACTATCGGAGTGAAAGAGTGGATCTAAAGAAAAACGGAGGCTAGACGCTTACCTCTCCAAATATTTTGGAGATAAACACCACTCATAAGGTCCAAGACAACCCAAAAAGCACTTCGATCATATCAAGATCAACTTTGCCCTTTGCCCATTATGAATGTTTTCGAATTGCAAGAATAATTGTCAATCTTATCAGACTATAGAATTGAAAAGACACCATAATGGGAACCATAAAAACTAATTTTCTCAATTCTTATTGCAGAACCAGTATTTTTTGCCTCCCTGTATACATCTAAAATTAACTGCTATATAACACATGAACAGAAAGAAACAAGAGCAGGCTAAAAAAAGAACATTGCTGTACCTGAGCAGCCGCCATCACTACACCACAAAACAGCCATTAAACTGATCACTAATTCCCTCAGCTCTTCAATTTCGCCTTCCCATTTTCAACCTTTTGAGCAAAGAGCTTCGTTGCAATCATATTATCATCAAAATACTGCGCATATGGGTGCCCTTTCGGAACAAGCCTCTGATACTTCTCGAAATTCTTCTCAGCCTCATTTTTCTTCCTCAACAATGTGTATATTATCCCTTGACACAAATAGGGTCTGAAATCCCTCGGCTCCTCCTTCACAAGCTCCTGATAAATCTTCAGAGCATCCTTATAGTCCCCTTCAATCACTCGAATTTGCGCTAGTAAAAGCTTTAAATCCCTCATTTCATCCTTCTTGTTCTCTTTCTTACACATCTGTATTGCCTCCTCAATCCTCCTCTCTATATCCTTCAATTCACTCGTTGAATCCCCCTGTGAAGCTGCCAATACCAAACCATGGTAAGCCTCAACACGAAAAGGGTCGTTTTCGAGTATTTCGTTGAACCCAATTTTGGCCAATTCAATCTCTCCACCGTAACAGTGCATGTGTGCCCTCAACAATGGCCATTCAATGTCATTGGGCTCAAGTTCAATCAACCTCTCGATAATGTTTATGGCTTCGAGGATTTGTTGATTTTTTATACGAATTTCCATCAGGGTTCGAAGACCTTCAACATCATTTGGGTGAGACTGCAAGTGTTCTTCAAGGGATTTCTCTTTCTCTTTTTCACTGTTTTCGTCCACAACGGTTTCGTTCTTAGTGCTTTCGACGGTGGGCGGGGGTGATATCGGTGCGGCAATGACGGGTTTGAGGTTGAATTTGGAGAAGAAGAGAGCGGCAGCGGTGACGGCGACGGCGGCTATGAGGGTAGTTCTGTGGAGAGAGAATGGCAAGGAGTTTAGGGTTTCAAAGAGTAGGGATTGGAAGGTTTTAGGGTTTCGAAGATGAGGGTTAGAGTATGGTAATGATGAGGAAGACGAGGAGGCTTTGATTGATATGTGTGAGGCTGATGATTTTAGTGTCGGTAATAATAGCGGTGGAGAGCGGTTTCTGAAGGAGAGAGAAGAAACGGGCCTTGAAAAAGATGGACGCTGAAGATGAATTGAGGGAAGAAGTTGTTGCTGACGATAGTTCACTTTAGCAATAGATTCCATGGAGTTCGTGGCGTTAGGGTTTAAGCTTCTGCGCAGAGAGAGAGACAAGGGGTCTAAAACCCGGTTGCCGAGTGCTAATAGATTTTTCCAGAGAGATCGAGAGCGAAAAGGGAGGAGGGGGAGGGGGGGGGTGTTGGTTCATAATTTAGAGCATCTGTTGATTAAACTAATCAAAAGATATTTTGATATTATAATACCTACTTTAACCGACTGTTTTTTTAAATTTATTCTAATAATACTATTTATTTTAACTAATCACTTCAATTAACTTTAACTAATTTTTAATAATAAAATTTAAAAAATATCAATTCAACTATATATTGTATAATTTAATTAATTATAAGTTACAAGAATAAATATCATAAAATATTTAAAAAATTTTGCTGCATTTTTGGGCAGTGTTGCTTGAAATTTGAAGATAAAACCTCTTAGATCAAACGACGAAGCCTCTTAGAACAAACCCATCAACCCAAAAAAATTGCAGGCCCAATTCAATGCTAAATCACCAAAACCTACATGCATCAATCATTCAACCTCAAAATTACACCTTTTTTGCAATTACACAAAAAGATGACATTGAGAGAATTTCTGAGGCATACCAGTAAAATCATGCAAGAATCACAATGAACAGAGGCTCACTTTTCCTGCTTCGTGTTCACTTTCTTTGTCTTCGACTTCGTTTTCACGAAGCATTCAGCAGAAGGCAGATTAGCCTAGCGCTTTCCTCCAACGATAGACGCAGCGAGGACCACTTTTCATCTATGCGGCTGCTGCTGCTACTTCTCTCCCGATTAAGACTTTGGGGGCGTTGTTAGCACAAAAAATAGAATAGCGAACTTTTTTGTCCTAGTCAGAGGGAGTAGCCAACCAAATGATGGTATGGGGAAATAACTAGTGTGATAATTAGTCCATTGGAAACAATATTTAACGATTGCCTATATAAAATATCTAAGAAAAGTGTTTTAAGAAGAGTGTTTTATCGAGGCCCTTAGAGTTGCTCTTAGAGGTAGGAAATGGACGATTGGGTTGGGTATGAGTTGGAATGAATTGGGTGTAAGATAAATTTAATTCATTTTCGATCTGAGTTATAAAAGTATCTCTAATAGTAAAAATTATTTTTTTTTAACTTACCTTTTGTTTTTTTTTTTTGGGGAGAGGAGGAAGACTTGAACTTTTTATCTCAAGAAGACAAAATCTTTATATGACAAGGAGTACTATTAGACAAAAAGTTCATTGGTGAACAAAAAAAATTAATTAATTTGGCTATTCAAAAAGTAATATTTTATATTTACCTACTCATTTTTTCAATACACATTCAACAAATTTTTTATATTTTTAAATTATTTCTCATTTTTTTGTATTTTTTTTAAGAATAGTGAAATGGAGAAAGAGAGAAATTGAAGAAAAAAAATGAGAGATAAAATATTTGCACATGTTACAGCAGTGATACTCTAAATATAGAGTACCGCTCTAGCAAAATGCTATTTTAAATGCTTTAGAGATGTTTTGTTGGAGTGGAGTTTTAGGGTAAAGAAGCTAAATTTTAAAGTTTTTTTTATACATTAGATTTTCTATTGGAAATGCTCTAATAGGTTAGATTATAATAGTTGAGTTAAATCCATTAAACAATAAAATTATTAAAATTATTAATATGAATACATTATACATACTAATACTTTAAATAAAACATGTTAATACACAAATAAGTACACCAAAACACACTAATATACTAAAAATATACATATTATTACATCAAAATATACGCACTAATACACAAAAATATACCCCCACATACTAACACACAAAAATACAAACACATTTAATAAAATATACACACACAGAGGGTCGGGGCAGGGGTCGAGGGTGGGTTATGGGTCAGGTCATAGTCATTGTTCGGGTGTATTAATGTGTGTGTTTTTGTGTACAAGTATGTGTGTGCATGTATTTTGGTGTATAATATGTGTGTATATTTTTTAGTATATTAGTAAGCGTGTTTATTTTTTGGTATATTAGTATGTGTATTTAATTTTATTACTTTTATTATATAATAGAAAGATAATTATTTAACTCAATGAATACTCATTTGTAATCTATCTTAACTCGTTCAATTAAAATGAGTTCTATTAGTCAACTTATTTAGAATTTCATATTAATTAACTAGTAATTGTCCATATCTGAAGGTACTAAATATCAAAAAATAACAAATAATTGTTCATACCTAAAGAAATTGTATAACACAAAACAACGTCTATCAACTTTTCTCAAAAAATATGACGAATAATATCAACCAGTTTACAAAGTTACATTACCCAAGCCTTCATTTTTTCAAATGATGAATAAAATGCTAAAAATATCACCCAAAAATTCTATAAATCAAATAGGCAAAACTCTCATTAAAAAACACATATTAAAAAAAATTTAAAGAGTAGTATTAACCAAATAAATATATCTCAATCCATACCTTGAATTGATTTTTCCCTTGCAACATAATTTTCTTTCTCTTCCTTTCCTAACAACCTTAGAGAAAAATTAGATATCATCTCCTAATGCATTGTTGCATAACTTGCATTGGATATATACCACTATCACATAACGGTATAGGCAAATCACTATGTTCACTAACACTTTAAAGCAAAGCAAGCAAACTAAAATTTGTTTATTGTAATCAAATTCATGAATTATGTCATATTTAAATTGTTTGTTATTTTCTGATACATGTTGCCTCGTCGTGAATTAAACACCACAGTAAATTGTAGTTAAAAGAAATGCTTGCAATGGCACACCCAAGTATAAAGTTTTGGAGTTCACCATGATAATTTTTTATCATAATTTCTCCACACCGCTCTAGAAGACAAAGGCCTTTGAAGTGGGTGCTTTCAAATCAACCAATTTGACTATAATTACAACCATTAGTCCTATTAAATTTGGAACTCAATTGCAAGTGATTTTCTAATCCAAATATCATGACAACTTACTGGACAATTGATAATGGGAATCTTTGAATTTGGCACCTCTTTGTAAAAATCTTCCTTTGTCTTCACATGATTGCAATTTGTAGAAATATACTCAAACTTCAGACCCAACCTATTGTGAAAAAAATAGAAACTACAAACCTTAGTATTAAGCATTTCAAATGATGAGCCCCGCTTTAGACCAAGTCTGGGCCCAATTCTTAGGTCAAATCCAAATCATCAAAAGACAGGTCAACGTTAGCACATAGATTTGGCCTGATCCAATGTTCAAGGGATCTAGGAAGATTAGCACACATGAAAAATAATTATTGAGATAACCACTCTCTTAAATCAAGACTATCTTTAATTGTATATACCATAGTTGTAGCTATCTTCCCCATACACCTAGTAATCTACCCATCACACCACTACCTCAACCAGGACTCGATGCTTATGAATTATAAGTCCTCTACACATGATGGAGGCGCATCTCTCTTACAACTATATCTAACACATCTCACCTTGAGAGTGCTCTTGCTCTCTCTCACCTACTACTTTATCAATAAATTTCTCCCTCCACCGTCATCTTCTTCAAAGTAGAATAGGTCACCTTGATCGAATTATTCTACATCTGTGTTGCATGTGTTGATATCACATTTAAATTTATTGTATTTAGTACTCTTATTAATTACAAGATAGATGGTGCATAAATTTACTTTTGTGCATTATCGTAAATTAAAAAAAAAAAAAAAGGTAGCGAAGAACACTTCTGACATTGAAACAAAACCAATAATACTCGTCAGTACTATACAGTATGTATTGATTTTTCTCGGATACGATGAGTATACAGAACATAACACCCATGATTGATATTCAACAAAGCAACACTATACACAAACCTGGAAAAATTTAAATCTTAAACGAATGATGATTTTTATTCCTAGAATGGTATAATTCAACAATTGGAAACAACATATTTTACCCAATTTATAGAACTCAAAGTAGTGAACATCCGAAAAAAAACCCGCCATTTGAAATGGTCACTCGCCCCAATAGCTTGCTAAACTCCTTATTGTTCATCATAGCGATCTAAATTTATCTCCGAATCATCCTTTTATTCTTGTTGTCCGTTGCAGCATTCTCAGCAAGTTCCAAGCTCTTAAAACCCAAACTAATTAGACAAATTTTTTTGGGTTGTTTGTGGTGGCGTGACTGTGTGTGTGTGTAGGGGGAGGGGTGTTCTGTGAAGAGTGTTTATATGTGGCGTGACTATTAGAGATAGACAGAGAAAGAGGCATGTGGGGAGGGTCAGTGGGATGGGTTCTGCGAGCTGACTGGGGGGGGGGGGGGTTCTGTGAAATAGGTGTGTTTGGAGAGAGAGAGAGGCGTGCTGTGAGATGGGTCTGTGAGCTAGGTGTGTTTGTGTGTGTGTTTGGGACACTATAGAGAGAGAGGTAGAGGTAGAATGGAACTCTAGTGTTTGTGTGGAGTGACTGTGTGTGTGTGTGGGGGGGGGGGGGGTCCGTGAAGAGTGTTTGTGTGTGGCGTGACTGTGAGAGATGGACAGAGAGAGAGACGTGTGAGTTGAGTGTGTTTGTGTGTGACGTGACTGTGTGTGGGAGGGGAGGGGTTTTTTTGAGATGGGATCTGTGAGCTGGGGGGAGGGATTCTGTGAGATGGGTGTGTTTGTAGAGAGAGACGTGCTGTGAGATGGGTGTGTTTGTAGAGAGAGACGTGCTGTGAGATGGGTCTCTGAGTTGGGTGTGGGACACTAGAGAGAGAAGAGAGACGAGACTCTAGTTTTTCTAGTGTTGGAAGTGGAATGAAATTTAGGATGCGTTTCTTGCCCTAAATTTAGTACTTAATTGCACTCAGTATTTATTAATTTAGCACTTTTAATAAATGCATTCAGCATTTATTAATTAAGTTTGTTCAATAATTAAAATTTAAATTCTCTTAATATGCTAAGTGTTCCTTACAAATATGTTACAATATTAAATAGGATATTTTTTATTTAATTTTGAAAGCTGAAAGTGCTCATCAAAGTTATCTTTAATAATATTTGCAATAGGACAATTATTCTCCAAAATATTTTACGTTCCTATTAAAACTCTAATTAGTTTTCTCTTCAAAACCTCTAACCTATATATTTTTCTTATCGATTTCTTAATTTTTTTTCTTTGTAATCTGTAACAAAAATATACATATATAATTATAATTACACTCACAAACATACACACTGCACACACACAATTACACACGAGTAATGCTACATAAACTTAAAAAATAGACTTGATAATTTCAACAATTGAAGAGGTGATAAGACCCAATAAATGCTGGAACCTACAGTGAAATTAATGGTTGAGATTATTAAGTTTAGTTTTTAAGTTTATTTTTTAAGTCCATGTAGCATTACTCATGTAACATGTTTTAATGAGCTTTCATTGGGCCTTCTCTCCTCTACCGGTCTTAAAAAAATTTCTCGTACATTAACGCAATGTCTTTAATAACTTA